TAAAGAGTTAATGGATTTATTTCGTTTCGTATCTGACATTTTTGTACAAAAGTTGTCTTTAGTGGATACCCGTGATTGAAACAGACGCACCATCTTATGTATTTCTTTCCTTTATTAAGGTAGTGATTTTCCAAACGTAGCTTACATGCGGCACAAGGAGGAAATTAGGGGTCACCCAGTGAGAATCGAACTCACTATTCAGTCGTAATTGTTCTAGCGAGACAAGCTTGCTAACTATTACACCGCCTCGTGATTCTCTTCCTTTATTAAGGTATATTGAGTGCGCAGGCCGATAGCAGTATTGAACACTGTATAAATTAAAAAGAGATAGCTATATCAAACATTGGTAAGACTGAAAAAAACTTCATGTAATAATAATAACAATCCCTCCCTTTCTTACTTCAAGTAATTATAACAATCTCTCCTATCTCTCTCTCTCTCTCTATATATATATATATATATATATATATATATATATATATATATATATATATATATATATTTCTCTCTCTCCTCTCTCTATTTCTCTCTTTCTCACTCTCACTCTCTCTCTCTCTCTCTCTCTCTCTCTCTCTCTCTCGTTGGTCTGGCGTTTGTTTACATTTGCTAGAATTTCCCTTTCCGTCTGCTTTGCGCTGATAGGCCAAAGGTAGAAACACCGACTGATACTAAATCGGTCGGGAATCGTTCTCGGCTTGAAGCAATCGGATGTCTAGCCGCACTGATGAGGTGTTATACAGCGTAACAGGAATATATATAAATAATGTTTATGTTGGTCACACCACAAACTCGCTTTCACGACGCTTGACACTACATGAATGAAAACTCTAACATTTTTAGGCATTTAAAACAACATGCCTGCCCGCACTCACAATTCCGTAAAATACTTGTCGAAAACACAATTATACTTTGACATGAAAACAATAGACAAAAACTAAAAATCCTTGAAGCATTATACATCAAACAGTTGAACCCCAACCTAAACAAAATCAATTATGGAATCTCTACAAATATCATTAAATGTCTATAATTGGTAACAGAAACCACTGGTTTATACCAATGGCTTCCCACACTTCATACTTCTCCAATTCACTCTCGTGTGGTCATGTGTGACGTCATGAGATGCGGTGCGATTTTCGCCTTTAGCGTTTTATATGCGCGTGTTTATCGTTGCTTAGACATTATCTATGTAAACAATCACAGACTATCATCACTGTCGTGTCTGTATATTGCTTAATATGTTGTAATTGACATCTTTGATAATGGCTTATGTAAGCCGAAAGCTTAGATTGTATTAAAAAATATGGATCAATACTGTGAATTATTAAACTTATTAGACGTTATGAAAAGAATTTACATAAAATAAATAGACAACACATGTCTATATTATTTAATGAAACGTGCATAAATATATATATATATATATATATATATATATACACACACACACATATTTACATATATATATATATATATATATATATATATATATATATATATATATATATGAAAATAATTATGTTTTTCCCACATTATATGTCTTTTTACAGAACAAAATTCACGCCAATACATTCATACAATTGCTATTATTCGTAAATAAAAAAGGTTTAATATAACAACTTACAATGAAGATCCAATTACGCTCAATTAGAATCATCATCATAATAATCATAAAATATTTCGGTATTGCAGCATTGTAAACTGAAGAAATGCTCTACTATGTATCATATTATCGCTACAACAAAACACATACTCCACATCTATCTATCTATCTATCTATCTATCTATCTATCTATCTATCTATCTATAATTATTGAAAAGGTTAAGAGTTGGATAAGACCAGAAAACAGTAGGATTAAAAAGGCCTTAATACAGGTGTGAAAAATAAAAAAAAAAATTTAACATGTAAAGCTTTTAAATACCAAAAGGTTGAAACCAAATTTGCGAAATCGACTGATCTCCTAAGTTGAATCTATGTTCTTTCTTTCTATCTATCTATCTATCTATCTATCTATATATATATATATATATATATATATATATATATATATATATATATATTTATATTTATATATGATGAAATGGATTAAATCCGATAATTATTAAATAATTTTATGTTATAACTTATATCTCGCCGGATATATCGATTTGTTTTTTTATGGCTTATCAGCCTTTTGCACGTAATTTAAATTCAGAAAATATTGTTAGATTTTTAGATTTTTTTTTTTTTGAGATAATGATGATTTAGTGACACAAGTCTTACTAATTAACCCATAGCCGGGGTGGGGAAGAAGTGGAGTCATAGCTTTCCCAAGGATATTTTGTGCTTGGAATATAACTTATCCTAGTGGAATTAGAATTAGGCTCCCCGATTAACAATTCCAAAACTTGATCAATTACTCCACCCGCACATCAAAGGTTACAGCACCTAGCATTCCCAAGGGGTCGCCAATCGAGGTACTGAACAGGCTTGAGGTTGCTTAACTTCGGTGATCGCAAGAAAAAAACTTTAAAATAGTTCAGATACATCCGTAATAATAAAAGCGTATGTACCTAATATATATATATATATATATATATATATATATATATATATATATATATATATATATATATATATATATATATATAACAAGACTCGTTTCGAAAAACCCTCGAATTTTTGATTTGCTAATCAAATCAATCTCGAGGGAAAAAATGGTTTTAAAAAAAGAAAGAGCTACAAACATGGACTTCTGCCGACAAAAAATCGCACAGATGCAGGTTTGAAGCCCAAAGAAAAAACCCCGATACGAGTAAACAACTAACTAACAAAAGAGCTCAATACAATCGTAGAGCAGACCTAGATACACCTAGTGAGACAGAAAAACCTACCTAGGTTTCACCTAAACGGATCGTCAGGGAAAGTTTGGCTATGTATATATATATATATATATATATATATATATATATATATATATATATATATATATATATTATGAAATGGACAAAGTCCGACATTTTTATGTTTATACATTCTTTTTGTAGATACAAATATTTAAGTTAATGCTCTGTTTTATAATAAACAGTATTAAACAACATTTACCGGCCTGAATGTCCGAGAAATTTTAATAGAAAATATTCGTTCTCCGTTACTATTAAAATTTCTCGAACATTCAGGCCGGTAAATGTTTTTTAATACTGTTTCTTATAAACAGAGCATTAACTTAAATATTTGTATCTATAAGAAGAATGTCTAAACATAAAAATGTCTTAGGATACAGGTTCGAATCCTGTCGGATGACAAATATTTCCTATGAAAATTCCTCGGATATTCCGGCCGGTAAATGTTGTTTAATACTGCTTATTATAAACAGAGCATTTACTTAAATATTTGTATCTATAAAAAAGAACGTATAAACATAAAAATGTCTTTATATATATATATATATATATATATATATATATATATATATATATTAAATATGTATAAAACATTTTTTTTTATATATATATATATATATATATATATATATAAAATATCATAAAATGTATATATATATATATATATATATATATATATATGTGTGTGTGTGTGTGTGTGCGTGCGTGCGTGTGTGTGTGTGACAATAGCCGATGCAGCAACTATATAATCCATTTGTTTACGTATAGGCAAACATCAAAGAAATCTAAGACTTGGATTAGAACGAATAGTTTATATTCTCTCTGTTTGTCCCGTAGGGAAATAGGCTTGTAGATATTTACCTTTTCGGGTCGTTTACATCATATTTGCTAAGACGTTATTAGATGAACACAAGATCCGGAAGTAAATTCTAGGAAGACTGTGTTGCGTTAATTCTCTGATTATAGAGAGCCTGCTTAGCTTGAAGTCCCTTTTTCGAAATATTGATTTTTATTCTCCGCTCTCAAAATACCGACATGTGCGACTATGAATTTGTCAAATATTGGATTCATCTGCCGTGTCCCTTTAAGACCTGAGCGATCACACCTCTCCCAAACGTCCTGTTTTTTTCTTTTTTTTTATTCTAATCTGTTTTTTTTTCATTATCCGACATTTTTGCCATCTGATAGGTTGTTACATATATACATTTAGTTTTTTTTTTTTTTTTTTTCTGTTTCTTAGTGTTGAAACTTGACTAATGCATGGAATAATAATACAACACAAAATGTACTTAGAACAAAATGTATTGAAACAAGAAAGTGTACACAATATTTACATATAGTCTTTTGTATATTTCTGGGAAGACCGTTCCTGGAGAATGGGTTGACATTAGTCGCAGTCGGGCAGAGTCTCTGGATTGAATCTCTTGATTCCTTCCCCCCGTCTTTCCGGTACCAACCATATTTATATGGTCGGTACTCCACTATGCAAATTAGGTGCATCCTACCACAACACTTAGTTTCTTTTTGTTTGTTTGTTTGTTTTTAAATCGGAATCTTGCCAAGCAAGGCAATAATGCCACTAAAACGAAAGTGGTTACCGGAGGGGGGAGAATTAGGAACAGAAACAATAAGGATGAGAAGAAAGCGAAGAGGGCACGAGATAGCGATTGACATTGCATTTAAATTTTTGTAGATAAAAATGTAGCTGGAAAGCATGAAGCTGGAAGGGAGTTCCACAAGCGAGAAGTGCAAGAAAAGCAAATCTTAGCATAGAATTTACGGTGGCAACTGGCCAGCTCAACCTTAAATAAATGAGATATCGACGCCAATCTAGGGCTGCGCTTAAATTTAAAAAAAAGAAAAAAAAACTAGATACCACAGTGAAGAGTGATATTTATTCTGCTATATACAGAAAATGTGGCACAAGGCTAAATGGGGAATGGGGAAAAGGACGGTCTTCATCTGTCTTAATTTTAAAGTTACCTAGCCACAAACACTGACATGAACATACCACAATATTCCTTACACCACAACAACGCATTCTTAATTTCTTTTCTTATTACATTCACCATAATACCGCATTGTCTCTATGAAAGTCCTAACTAGTACCCATATGTACAATTCATTGTCTGTTTGTAACAAATTTAAAACCCTAACCCCAATGAATATTCGCAAAAATGACCATAGTGAAGAGCTCTTTCGAATAATTACCGTTTATAGAAGAAGACATAGAGGGGAAACCTTACGGCGTTAGGAAAGTGACTGAAGCTGAGCCGCCATATCAGGACCAATAATATTGCAAATTCATATTTTATGAAGGAGCTCACGGTAAATAACAGCCGTACCGGAACTTATTTGGCAGCAATATTCTAAGCATGGACAAATGATTAACGACATATTAACACTTTACGGGTCATTTAATGCCGAAATTTAATTTTCTTGGGAGCTTTAAAGTAATAAGAATATAACATTCTGCATTCACAATTGTATACATATAGTATATTTTATTCAGATTTGGGGCAGTGACGTGTGATTTATGTTGTAGTTTTGTTGAAGTTATATTTTGGAATACAGTTTCACTAAAGAAATTGTAGTATATTATATGGTTTAATGACAATCCTTTCATGTTCGTTGTTTCGCCATGTTTAGCCTCATATCAACGTCTATGGGTTATTTAATGCCGGAATCTAAACATTTTGAATGCAGTTGCATTGTTTAAAATGTATTGTTTGTAATTTTTAAAAAATGTATTGCTGCTATTTTTACTATAAAAATATATTATTTATACTTTCATGTTATTTTGCTATGTTTGGCGTGTACACTATTTAAGACCTATTAGAAGTGCTACCATTCCGGGTCAGAGAATGCCTGGGGACATCAATAATTAAGAGGAAGTAGGATACTCTTCAAAACCTCCACTCTCCCGATCAGAAGACTTGCTGCAAGATGTAGTTTATCGTCATACCCATGTTGCGAACGGTCTGAAAGAAATAATTTTCCGTATTAATTTTGTTTCTTAGTAATTCCGATCATCCTTTCAAATATTAGTTTAACGTTATTGAAATTTTATTTCCGATTAGACATGAGCAATAACCAAAACGGAAATGGAAATTGTTATCTTTATAACATAAAAAAAATACAATACTCGCCAGCGGCGTGAAATAGGTAAACCACTGCTAGCGGTGGACTACATAGATTACGATATTTTCCATGGTACAAGGTCAATTTTAATGTGCGGTTTTTTCCGAGTTCGAGTGCTCGGGCAAAAATTGCCCGTAGACGCCGCATACGCGGGATCGGGTATCTGTCTACCTCCCTGAACAGGACTCTGCCCTTCGGCATAGCCTCGTCCAGGTTCCTCTCTGCCTTTAGGTAGAGAGTTCGACACAGAAAGAGCTTCCCACGTTGTCAACTCACGCTGCCAGCGTAGACAGCATATTACGATATTTACCTGCCTTCCTACGAGGTAGGTTGTGGCACAATGCCAATCATAATGTGGGGAAATCCGAGTCCGTAGGCTCGGGCAAAAATTGCCCGTAGACCACGCATACGCGGGATCGGGTATCTGTCTACCTCCCTAGACCAGCCTCGTCTGGATTCCTCTCTGCTCAAAAACAGAGAGTTCGACACGGCAAGAGCTTCCCATGCCGAAAGCTCACGTTACCAGCTTAGGCAGCACAATGCCCCCACTTACAATATTGTCCAACGTATTGATGAGGATTGAGACATACCCATTAGTGTTCATAGGTACAGATAACAGCTTCAAAACAACGAAACGTTCACTGCTAAGCTGTAGGTTGAACAAATGAACAGGATCAAAGAGGAAAAGAAATTACCTGAGCGGTGATAGACTGTGATTATTCAACATGACAATGCTTTCCCACAAGTCGCTAACATGAGCCAGCATACAGAGATTTCGGGTAGGAAATTCTGTCATCCGCCCCATATACTTCTGGGTTGGCCCCTTCAGACTACCACCTATTTTTAACTTTCTGACAGTTTGAGAGATGTTTCGTTCAACAACGATGTGGAGTTTAAAACGTGGCTTGATGAATTTTTCGAGTCAGATCTTAGTTGTGTCTATCGTCGAGGCATTGATCAGTTAGTGGATCGATGGAAGGAGGTCGTAAACAATGAAGGAGAAGATATTGTTGAATGATTCATCAGAACTATTAGGAAGTAATAAGTATTAAAATAAATGATAAAAACCCTACGAATTCATGTAACAATCTAATATAATACAAGCAAACTTTAGCATCGGGAACGCCATCTCTCCTTCTTCCCTTTCTCTTTCTGGTGATGTCGGTGGAGATGGCTGGGAAGGCCATCATGCAAGTTAATTGATATTCCTCTCTGTCCCTCTAGACTTCAGTATTTTCTGTGCCCCATAAATTTCAACGATTTCTTTCAGATTTTTGCGTGCAATACTTTTAGATCACATTTTTCTTAAATTTTCACGCTACTCAGTTATTCTCTCGCCGTTATTGTCAATATACCTTTGCAGAATCACATATCTGTTGCCCCAAATATTCTTTTGATTTATGAGGAACTTGTCCAACATTCACTGCCATAGAGGAGGACTGATGTTATATAACAGTTAAGAGACTGATATATATA